AAAATTAATATATTTGTGTCCAAAGAATGCGCTGCTGTGAGTAAAATTTAAGGATATCGTACATGAGGCCATACTCCAGAATCCACTTTCTTCCACCTTACTGCAGAAGCAGGTCCCAAATGCCTTTTTCCCAACACACAGGTAAAGGATTAAATATTACAACTCTACAATACAGGTTCACGTCTGACACACAGATGATCCCATAGAAAAGCTAATTTTGGCAGCGAATCAAAACATTAACTGAAGTCTAACTTTTTCGCAGCTTCTGCAAGGGAACCCTTAAAATGAGCGCCAGTTTGCACCAACCGGACCAGACAAAATGGCACCCCACAAAGCATTCGTCCTACTGATTTTACACCGTCCTTGATTCTCAAAAGACAAATTCATCCAACTCTTCACTTTGTCACCACCTACAGTTTGAATAGTTGTTTGCATAGCCATTATATCTAGTTGGAGCTTTCTCAGTACATGGCGTGCTTGTGTCTGTTTCGTTTTATACTGATTCCTAACCCATCTACTGGCTCACCGGACTTACATTTCAAGACGCGTCTCACGATCAAGCTCCTCCTTCTCCTTCTCGCTGACTTCCTGATTAGCCAGAGGCTCAGGATTTGCTGAAACAGAGGTTCTTGGTGGTCTCTGGGTTCCACCTTTTCCTCGGTTGAGTGGGAAGGAGGTAGTAGAGGGACTGGGGCTACCACCACTGCCAGCACCGCTTATGCGACCACGCATCGTGCCGGGCAGACTAACTGCGGAGCAGACGCTGTTCATGGTCTGATTTGCTCCGTCACGTCGATCCTCAGCGGGAGAGCTGAGGTTGTTGAGGCTTGTGGAGGATGAGAAGGCAGCCCTACCGTCACCACCACCACCCATCCCTCCCTCTACGTCGGTCGTGTACTGCTTCTGAATCTGATTACCACTTCTAAGTAAAGGTGAAGCAAAAGAATATGAATTATGAATTATAAAATTATGAAGATGATTATGCTAAACCCATTTACTTACGCCTGAGGATGCTTCCATAAAGGCTAAATGCTATGGACAACAAAAATATCATTAACTGCCTAATAGTTGGGAAACAATTTTGTGTAATCAAAATGAGCTGAATCTATTTGCTGTTGCCCGCGACCCAAATGATATTTTGTAGGAGGAAGCATTTCTCTGGCTGATTGCATGATGCGTGGTGCTAAAACTTCGTCTGCCATAAATTGTGGCAAGATTTTACTATAATAGAATAATAAGAAATACCTTCTGTTGCGGTTGATTTCTTATCGCTCTAAGAAACATTTTAAAAATTTTCCCAAATTCAAGGGCGTTACTATTGTCTAAAATTGACACAAAGAACATTACGTTAATGCGTTTTTAAGTATGAAGAGGTTATGCCAAGGGTGAAGACTATCAATGTGGTAAGACCTAAGCTTCAAAACTAGTATAAAACGCACAATAACCGGCGCCTACCGTGATACTTTACTCGGTCTCCTTTGCTCCACTTAGTGGTAAAAGTGATTCCACGCTGAAGACAAGTGTGCAGCACCTCATGCCGCCTACTGAATGGGTGTCCTTATGCGACCCTGCCGTTGTCACTGCCTACTCTCCAGATGCTCTAGCTAACTTAGTTTAACACTTTGTTTTTCAAGCCAGAGGCCTGCAGCACTCATAATTTGTTTAGCAACGATGCCAGGTCAAAAGGGCTCCATGCGCAACAACTTGACTACTCGTAGACAAAAAAAATTAGGAAGGAGAAACAAATTTCCCAAAATGTGTTTAGTTGGTGTAATCATTTTACTTTGAAACAGTGCGTAAGCCTATAAAAATGGACATTTTATTTGCGCTGTGCTGTGTCTGCTGTTTTAATGTGAATTTGGGGTTTACTGCTGTAAGGCTAGCATTATGGACAATTTATCATCAATTAAAGATTTGTTCCGATGAAAAGGCATCAGACATGAGAAGTTATTTCATGCATACTCCTTTCTAAGGATCGAGAGTTTCTTACAATTGTTCTATTGTGTCCAGAAGCATCTTTGAACATAATAAAAATATGATGGACATTCCTCCATAAAGAAGGTGGGCGATTCCAATCCTACCTTATTTCTCTGTGATACGCAAGATTGAGTACATTATAATTGCATCCTATTCACAAATTTCCATTGCCATAGTGTAGAGGTCTCAAGTTTCTAGCCTGCAGGTTATCCTCTTGAATCTGGCAAATGAGTGCTAAGGTGTTGGCTACTATCCGCCTGAGGAGTACACTACTGGAGGTGGGGAAGCACCTGTCAATGAGGGGAATTAGTTCCAAATAGCGTCGTGCCAAAGTTGTCGTTGTACTATTTCCATTCGTTTTA